GCTTGCAGGTCAGCCTGCATAGATTGCATCAGAGGCAGACAGGCCATATGATAGATGTATCATCACTCGTTCATGCTTATGTTCTGTCTTGTTCAGGAGAACTACTACTGGTTAGAGAGGATTTTACGAGGGTACCAGTCAAGGGTCTATGCTGGTGATTTAGGCGCTTCATTAAAGGTCACTTAATCATCTTCTAAATCTGCTTTTAAACAATTTTATCTTTTGATTGGATTTTCTCAGTGTGAATTTCTGGATGTGTAGATTCAAGAAGAAGGGCGATTGAGATTGAGAGAGTCCCTCTCTCCACAAACAGCACAAGGGGCATTGCAACGTATACTGCCTTACCCTTGCAAGAATCAGTACACTGCGGTGATCCTGATGCCACGAAATTCCCGATTCGGATATCTCAACTCTCTCTTGATTTCTCCCGAATCTCGCTTTGTCCGAGATGCTAAGGTCGGTCAGTTCATTCCCTTTAGTCTTGTGCGTGGCCATTTTGAGTTTGGTTTGGTTATATTCTGGTTTGATTATTTCGGTTTTAAAAAAAACTATGATAAGAATTCTGTTCGGGTTCATTTTTTAATAATCAAAATATTTATTTAAAAAAATCGATTTTTTCTATTATTATTTTTATTCAGTTTAGTTCAAATTTGATTTTAGAGAAATCATATTATTTTGATATTGACCAAATTGTCCACACAAGTAATGTTGTGTTATGTTATGTGTGGTCTTTCTTGTCATCTTTGGTTGGATGTACATGTGATGTTTTTTTTCTAATGACAGGTTTTGGGCGGCTTTGCTGCATTGGCCGTTGTTGGGTTTGGGTTATGGAGATACTCTCGCCGCTAAAATTGGTTCCGGCTTTTAAAAATTACTTCGTTTCTAGAGATTTTTCTCAAAAACAAACGTTTTTACCGTTTCATCACATCTTCATATTTGTCGTACCCGACTTCTAGTTCTGTAAAATATTTAAGAAGAAGAACCCACATGGTAAACGAAGCTTTTTTTGTGTGTGTGTGTGTATAATTGTTAACTATAGGTTCCTACGAAAAATGGAAAAAATTGATCTTGAAGAAATGAATTATTTTGGCTAATCGAAAGGATAAGAAAAGAAAAAAATATTTATTGAAATATTTCGATATTTTAGTCGGTACTGTCGTCCCTGTCGGATATTTGGATACGGAAGGAATCTCCATGGTTTGCTGAAAAGAATTGAGCCTTTTAACAAATTCGTGGGCCGCCGGCTGTTCGGCCTATTAGTTACGGTCCATTAGCCTCGATGCCCAAAATAAGTACAATAAATTCATACGCGCACATGTAACGCGTTTGCATCACGCGCCTGATTTACGTAGGTAACCCAGAGAAAATAGCGGAATCTTGAATATTAAGCCAAGAAGGCGCGTGAGAAAGGAAGGCATTTGTGAACCATTTTTTTCCTGACCACAACATAAATTCTTTTGTTTTTTGTATCCACATCTGGCAGTAAAATTTTGTAACTATCTATTTTTTTTAATTGCAGTAATATTTTATTTTCGATAAGTTAGTTGATTCAGTTTGTAAATGACTTTTACTAAAAGGTGGAAGATTTAACATACAAAAACATAAATCCAGATTTTGATGGGCCTTTTAAGCAGCCCGACAATTCAAGAAAAACTGAAAATCCCATTAGGCCCGTAAGAAAGAACTAGGGTTTTATGATCATGAAGAAGAAGACATTGATGTTCCTCACATATATGTTCCAAAGAAAAATGATAAAAAAAAGAAACTGTTCTTGAAGAATTAAACTATTTCGGTTACTCAAAAATTGAAAGAAATTGTTATTGAAAAATTGAACTATTAGTATGCGGATGAAGCGCGTTTAACAAATTCCATCGTTATGGAAAAGAAAATGGGCCTTTAACAAATTCGTAGGCCTTGGGGTTTTTGGCCCACAATATGTGGTCCCCACTCGCTTCAATCGCAAATGTCCAAAATAAGCACAGTAAATCGCACGCGCACATGAAGCGCGTTTTCATCACGCGCGGGATTTCTCTGGGTTATAACCTAGGGAAATCTGCGGAATTTTGAATATTGAGCCAAAAAGGCGCGTGGAGAAAAGGAAGACATTAAAGAACGTCCTTTTTTCCGTGACGACAGCATAGATAATTTTATTTCTTGTTTCCACATCTTTCAACAAATAATTTTATATTTTTTTGGTGCATTAATATTTTATTTACGAGAAGTTAGTTATAGTTAATTCAGTTTGCAAATGAATTTACAATAAATAATGTGAAAGAATTAGCAGACCAAAAAAACATCAATCCGGATTTTAATGGGCCTCGTAAGCAGCCCAAAGAAAGCTGAAAAGCCCAATAGGCCCATAAGACTAGGGCTTTATGATCATCGAAGTGCATTCGTATATAGAGCCCACCGGAGTCGCCGCCGTCTGTCTGTCTTCCGCTTCAAATCTCTTAAAGGATTCTGTTTTTCTCTATCAATGTCGCGTTCGATCTTCGGTGGAATCATAGGTGAAGAAGTGAGATGCCGGTCCTTCACTGTATCGATCTGATCGATCCATATTTAGCAATAAACCCGATGAAGAGATGCCTCTCATATACAATAAACCCCAAAAGGAATCACGGAGCAGATAAGCTTTAAGGATATTTTTGCTATATGCATACAACAAATGCAATTCAAAAACAACACTAAAGCTCCCCTGGTGCGTTGAGAGAGTAAAAAGATGGATGGGTTACACAGGCAAATGGCTCGACTGAGGCTAAAACTATTCCAAGGAATGGCACAAGTAGAAAAATGTGAGCTTTCTTCTATAACTACCCCACTGGTATCCATGTTCATGAAGGTATACTGATAATTGACAACAATCAAATTGTGTCAACGAGTACGACAACATACCTCAAGCAGCATGTAATAAATCCAAAACTATGCTAATGCAGACCCACCATCTAGGGGTGGCCATTTCGGTTATTAACCGAGCCGAACCGAACCGAATAATACATAACCGTACCCGAACCGAACCCGACATCAAAACCGAACGGTTATGATTTCCTTAAACCCGAAAAACCGAAACCGAAACCAAACCGAACCGAATAAAAAATAACCGAAAAAACCGAGAGAATAACCGACATTTTCTTTGGAAAATTGAACTTTTTACCAAAACCGAACCGAATCCGAACCGAAAAATAACCGAACCGAACCGAACCGGAATTTATATAAAAACTGAATGGTTATAGTTTTTCTATAACCGAAATAACCGAACCCGAATATAACCGAACCGAAACCCGAATTGGCCACCCCACCATCTGTGATTGTTCTTGTTATCTACTAGCTCGACAATTGAGAAAGAGAGAGAGCGCAAGTGAAGATAGCGATCCACTAAAAAGTGGGTCAAAGAAGCCAAAACAATTTATATAGATATCAGAAGTAAAGAGACTACCCAGATATAGGGCTACATTTTTATGTTCTAAACGAAAATGATCAAATACATATGCCGCCTCATGCGAGTGTAATGCATGGAACATCAAGAATCAGATGCCACGGCATAAAGTGTTTTGATAACTACCAGGGCAGATTAGCAGTTACTTAATTGAGCAACTCATCAAAAGAGTTCATTACCTGCCAAGGTCCACAAGTACTGCGGTCACTTCTCTCAGTCAGTCTACAACATTCTACCGAAGAAACAAATACGCTATACATCATTTCACACGAAATGTTGTACCAATCACTCCAGCCAAAGTTGTCCATACAAACATTCAGTGCACTGCATGAGATCGGTTTTCTTCTGATTAGTAACAATCTTGCCTTATTGAATGACGACATGACGGAAGTAGAAACAACTAACAACAAAACTTTATCATGCAAGCTCTAACATTGTCGCCGATGATAAAATAAAGGGGCATCATAAGCTATAAAAGGGCGCAAACATAAGACAAACCAGCTGAGATGGCATTCCATGACTTGAGATCCTCCATGAAATAGGCATCTGCTCTGAACAATGGTACAATATATAGATATACACAGAGGATAGTATACATATGTAAAATCAATAGGGTTTTGTACGAGTAGGGACACAGCCAGATGTGTTTTCATAGATGAATACACTCTGAATGCAATCTAGACCAGAAACCGGTTCTAGATCAAGACAACTGGTTTAACCGAAATTCTCAAGTTTCCATTTCATCATCTTCTCAAAATCAATCAGCGGAGTTGCAAGTAATCCGAAAATCAACTTGGAACATGTTTGACCTAAACTTCGATCGTAACAGCCAACAGGTCTATACGAACTTTAACCAAATCGCAATGCTCAAAGGGACGAAGGGAAAGAATGGAGTTCACACAGGACACATCCGCCATAACAGTTCCCAAGGAGATACGGGCTGCAATGGAGTAGAGGAGGAAAAGCTGAGGAGCAAAACAAAAGAACCGCGAATACGCTCTAGAGGACACCGAAAAAAAACAAGACAGAACTCAGATGAAGAAACTAGTCTTACATCGCGTAAGAATCACCGATTGTGCATCGAATCATTACCTCCATTGCCGACGATCTTTCTCAAGAGATCGAACAAAATCCTCTTATTCGGCAAAATGACAACACCACTGAACTATGGAACCGTACAAATTTCATTGCAATTTCTCGCAAAGAGAGATGGAGAAAGGCCTTGCGTATCGATTGGGCGGGAATCGATGTCGTCCCAAGTAGAAAGAACAAACCTCGTCGTCTTCTTCGTGACGAAATCGCCGCCATTTTCTCGATAACCCATCTTCGATAGCTTTTCTTTTCTGATTCAAAATGAAGAGAAGGCCTTCGTTCGTTCAGAAACCGGTTCGGTTTTATATAACCAATATCGACGCTTAACCAATAACTCTTACCAGTACGATTCACGTCCATTTAACCAAACTAAACCAGATCCATTAGACTACATGTTACAGTTGGGAATTGGGATAAGCTTTTACATGATCCACACCATATATGAAGCATCATAGCACATTATAACAAGTGAGAATAAAGAACAAGTGGGAAGAGCTCATTTGGATAAAATTAGCTTATGCAAACCATAATCGCAAATATAATCCGAAATGGCTAACTTCATATAGTAAAATCAAATATTGGTATAGATAATGCCGTTGGTTGAAAATCAAAACATGATGTATTGCAAATCAAAGATCTGCTCGTCCAGGATACCGGGGGAAGGGAATGACGTCTCTGATGTTATCGATCCCCGTTGCAAACAGAATCATCCTTTCGAACCCGAGTCCAAACCCGCTGTGTTTGACTGTTCCAAAGCGACGTAGGTCAAGGTACCACTCGTATGGCTCCATCGGTAGACCCATCTCCGCTATCCTGTAAGCCATGACCAAAACCAGAGAGGTGTTTCATGAGCAATCTTCCCCGATATACTACCGTAATTGGAGATTACACGAGTTTCGAATACTGGGATTTGGCTCACATACCTCTCCTGAATGACATCGTAACGTTCTTCCCTTTGGCTTCCACCAATGAGTTCTCCAACCTAAGAAAAAGGAACAGATTCGTCAGGACAAGCTTAAGCTAAAGAAACAACGAAAAAGGTTGCAACTTTCAGAACGATCCCTTGGCAAAGATGGGCTTTACCTTTGGAACGAGAACATCCATGGCAGCGACTGTCTTCCCATCATCGTTAAGCCTCATGTAAAACGCTTTGATCCCTTTCGGGTAGTTAAAGACGATAACCGGCTTTTGAAACAAAACCTCTGTTAAGTATCTGCATGACAAGTTAGGCCAAAAACACATCATTAATATTTAATAACCTTTCTTGCAGGTTTAAGCCCATATGATACCAGCGACGGGGATATTACAAAACCTTTCATGCTCAGATGCTAAATCGATTCCCCACTCCACTTTGTTCTCAAACTTCTTTCCCTTGGCCACAGCATCCTCGAGCAGTTTCACTGCTTCAGTGTACGATACACGTACAAATGGCGTTGAGGCAACCATTTTTAGCCGGTCAATGCAACACTTATCAAAATTCTTGGCCATAAGTTCCATGTCATCGTAACATTTGTCAAGCAACCACTGGCACATGTATTTGACATACGCCTCTGCACAGTTCATGTCATCCTACACCAAGAGCAGACCAAAGCCATTCAGTGGTCAAGAAGCGGTCAAGAAATGTTACAAGGCTTCTTTACCTGAAGATCGGCAAAAGCTATTTCAGGCTCAACCATCCAGAACTCAGCCAAATGCCTCGAGGTATGAGAGTTCTCTGCTCGGAAAGTTGGGCCAAATGTATACACGCTGCTAAGAGCGCAAGCATATGTTTCTACTTGTAACTGACCAGAAACCGTCAAGAAAGCTTGACGGGCGAAAAAATCTAGGGAATAATCAATTTTCCCATCTCTCTTGGGAATTCCCGGCTTAAGCTTCGATCTCTTTTCAAGTTCAGCCACACTCTCCTTTGCTTTCTTGAGTTCATCAACAGCCGGAGCCATATCTTGCTTGCTAGCTTTGGCAGCTTTGAGCTGGGCTAGGGCATCACCTTTCTCCTTGACAATGAGTTTGGCAGCTTCGACATCAGCTTCTGTCGGTGGAGGGTTCTCTATTAGGTCCTTCTCCAACTTCTCAGCCTCACTGATCAAAGTTGTGACTTGGAACATTTCGCCGGCACCTTCACAATCACTTGTTGTGATGATTGGAGTGTGAATGTAGAGGAAATTGTGCTCTTGAAAGAAACTGTGGGTCGCAAAAGCAAGAGCATTTCGAATTCTTGCAACAGCTGAAATCTGATGCCACAAAAAGCATAATTGACATTAGCAAGGCATTTATGATCAGCCAAATACAATAGAGGACTGAGGAAATAGTGTATAGATGCTCATGAGAAAAACTAAAATGTAAACGGAATGCAGTAGACATGAAGAAAAATCCGATTGCAATCAACGAAATGGTTACCAAAATCATCAGAAATCCAACTCAGTATCCCAGAATTGTCGGTTAAGGACAACCTAAACAGAGATCGTATGATGTAATGGGCCAAGATAACGTCAACCGGAACCGATTCATGAGTATCTTAAGAGAATAAAGAAACTTCACCGAATTTGTCCTAGAACGAAGATGAAGAACATCTCTCAAGAACTCCAGAGTTAGCTTCGTCTTTGGAATCGGGTACTTCGCCGGATCCACTCTTCCGACATGGATCACCTTCTCGACCCGGAGTTCAATCTTTTGCTTCGTACCTTCCGGAGGGGTCTTCAGAATCCCATCGACAGACACGCAAGTTCCTGTCGCAACGAGAGGGGCTAGATCAGATACGGACGCCTCCACGATAACCTGTAGATTCGCAGGGCACGACCCGTCATTGAGCTCCAGGAAAGCAAAGGACCCTTTCCCCTGCTCTCTACCCGTCTTGACCCATCCACCCACCCGGACTTGTTCGCCGGCCAGTCCAGCTCCGCCGTCGGATCTTCCGACGATCGAACGAATAAGCACACGGTCGGAGAATTGTGCTTTCTTCACCAAAGACGAGGAGGGACCATCTTCGGCTATGGATGCAGAGGCTAGTTGATCTACCGGAGGCGAAGACCCGTCAGCCATTGTCGTCAATCGAAGAAGCTGCGGAATCAATTTGCGGAGGTGGAGCTTTTGCTAAAAACCCTAAGATGGAC